ACAGATATACATGTATACACATAAATATTATACATTAATATTGATATATATCATATATATGTCATATATTCATCATTATTATTATTATTATTATTATTATTATTATTATTATTACTGAACTCCCGTTGAAAGAAATTATTTTTATTAAATGTATTGCTCCAAATAAAAAAAAACTCTCTGAAAAACAAAGTCGCGCTCAGATATTAACAACCACTCCGGTAACATTTGTTAAAACAAATAATAATAATAATAATAATAATAATAACAACAATTAATGATTTTAAAAGGACGTGACGCAAAATCCGCAACGCCAACGTGATTGCGTCATTATTGCGTGCTCCCCGGAACCATCGAGCGGTCGACTTATTCAGCAAGCTCATTGATTTCGCTCATTTCATCGACAAATAAGAAGAAACACAGCAGGTAGCAGTGGTTTGGATGTCCCTGTAAGGTAAATGAATGTTTGAATGTTTCATTTAGATGATGTAACGTTGCTTAACAACCGCGGCGTCGACCGATATTAAAGTCCTGCTCTGCATCGTGTTGGCTCGGTTGTTTTTAATTCTCCCTGTTTCTGTCGGAAATGTTCGTGCAAACGTTGTTTTTTAACTTGTATAAGTAATAAAAAGAGAGAAACTGAGCGATGTTGCTCGTTGCTGCAGTTAAAGCGACTTTGTTAGGACTCAGTAACCTTTGTGTAACAGCCTCCATCAGGCTTTCTCATGTCGTTTAAACTGGGCCAGACCTTTAATGTTACATACATATGGTCGTTAAACAGGGCTGAAAACGTTTTACCACACCATCTACTGCATGAACACATGGTGTTTACAGGAAGGCATGCACTAACGGCATCTTGTGTAGTCAATGCAGATATTAAAATAACATTATAATGCCTGAAATCGGTTTTGTAACAGTGATTGCAGCTGCAAAACAACGGAAGCATGGGCCTAAGATATGAAATAAGTTAAAGCTAGTGTAATTTTTAACAGTATAACTGTTGTTTCGCTCAGGTTCAGGATATAAAAACAGACTAAACATTGCATAAAACATATAAAGATGAACCATCATACCACCAGGTTTTGTTTTGCTTTGCTATATACCTTATTATTGCATCCTATTATATATTTTTTGTATTGCCTGCAGGTCGTTCAGAGACGTGGACGCTGGTAAAGTGTCGAACCAAACAAAAAAAACCCTCTCCGCCTATCTAATATCTCCTGTTTTTTTTATTTCTTCAGGTACTTTCTGTCTCTGAGGTCCAGCAGTGCAGCCGGTTGCCATGGCGTCTCCAGGGGGACAAGGAGGAGGCGGAGGGGCTCTGTCGACGAGAGGAGGAAGCGGGGCCAGGAGGATGAAGTGGGCTCTGGAGCTGAGCTTGGGCAACACCAGGTGAACACAAACACTCAGTAAAGCCACTTTGTGAACGAAGCTGATCGAAGCGGCACCACGAAGGCTCAGACGGACAAAGCGCTCCGATCTGTGACTTGCATCGTTTTACCATCGATGGGTAACTGACAGAGCGGCTCTTAGTCATAGGCAGCTCCTCTCCAATTTCCAAAAGGACTCAATAAAAGAGTCATGAATGTAAACTCTTTGTGTTGCGTGTGTGCGGCAGGACTCGTGGGGACCGGCAGGGCGGTCAGGGAGACGTCGTTTATCCCATCGGCTACTCCGAGAAACCCGTCCCCGACACCAGCATCCAGGAGACGGACAAGAACCTGGTGGAGAAGGTAGACAGCGAGGAGAACCTTGACTTTTATTCTTTGGATGCGGACATTTCTCTTTTTTTTTACGACAGCGTTTTATAAAAAAAACGAAACAGTTTCTCTGGGCTTCTTATGTTCTTGAACGCCTCCTAAGATAATCGTTTTCCTGCTTCAAATAATGAAATCCCAAATTCTGGAAAAAGATGCACAGAGGAAGTAAAACTCAGCGATGTATACATAAATACGTGTGTAAATGAACGGCGAACATGTTTGTATTTGGTGTGATCCTCCCAGAGGAAGCAGCTTTAGAGTAATAATCCATATAAGAGAGGAACTCTGTGATATAACGATGAAATATTGGAGCAGAACTAAAAACATTAATGTACGTACCTTTTGTCCTGCAGCGTTGTTGGGACGTCGCTCTCGGGCCTCTGAAACAAATCCCCATGAACCTGTTCATCATGTACATGTCGGGCAACACCATCTCCATCTTCCCCATCATGATGGTCTGCATGATGGCCTGGAGGCCCATACAGGCGCTCATGTCCATGTCTGCCAGTGAGTATTCATCATTCACATCGTTCACTACTGTGTGTTACAGACTCTCTTTTAACGTCTACACAATAAAAATTCCTGTGTTCTCTTGCGTCTCAGCCTTCAAGCTGTTGGAGAGCTCCAGTCAGCAGTGGCTGCAGGGCCTCGTCTACCTGGTCGGTAACCTCCTGGGCTCGGCCTTGGCCATCTACAAGTGTCAGTCGATGGGGCTGCTCCCAACGCACTCTTCTGATTGGCTAGCTTTCATAGAACCGCCACAGGTAAACAAAGAAGATGTCGTTTTTTTTTTTTACTGGATCGCACTGAAAATGGCGTTTATGTTCTCTGTTGCTCCCAGTTTTGTCTTGTTTTCATGCTGGGCCATAAATGTCTCATGTGCTGGTCACTCACCTTTCAGCCAGTAGAGGGCAGAATATGTCTGTTTTGTTATTACATTTATGCATTGTAGTTTTCTGTAATTTTCTCACTGTCTTAAATCTAAACAAGTTTGTCAGGTTACCTTGTAACATAGATTTTAGAGGAAAAAAGGATGAGATGTACCGTTTTTTTAAAAGAAGTAACTGATACCTGCAGCAGCATGCCTCTCCCGACAGCGCTTGTAGATATAGAGGGCATAATAATGTAAACGCGGGTTTCCAACTGGAAATTATTTAGCAGAGGTGGCATAAATGAATTAATCATGCCTTTAAAAATAGTCACATTCATTAGATATATTTTAAATTTCTGTTTGATAAAATATACGGTGGCCCCGAGAGGTCAACACGTGCACACCACAAAACATAACCACGATTACGCAACGGTCCCTTAAATGTGCGTTTTTCACAGTTGCAACCAAGAAATGTACTCGTCCATGTGACATTTATTTGTTGTATATTGTTTTATATATAATATAATTGTATATTATATTGTTTAATATAAACCTGTCGCTACTCTCTAATGTCTTCAGCATTTATCGGCTCACATACACACCGATATCAGCCAATATTCTGGTCAGGCACTAATCCTTTTTTTGTGTTTTTTCTCAACAGAGGATGGAGATCATGGGTGGAGGGATGGTGTTGTGAAGAGGACGGAGCGTGCACATACCAGATTCAAATATTTACAGAGGTTATATACTATATACTGTACATTCTCCACCGGCGCCACGCAGCCTGGCTACCTGTTAAAGCTGTCCAGCTCTTGTCCACAACAGACTGAGCCTCCACAGTGGCGCAGCAGGACGTGCGGAGCAGCTTTCTACGAAAGCCCTCGTCCTCCATAAACACACACGCATTTGTTTGCCTTTTTTTAACAGAAACATTAACATTTCTTCAGCCTGCTGCTCTGCTTCATGTCCTCTGATGTCCCCCATACCTAATTTTTTTTGATTCTTTTAGTAAAGGTTTAAAAAGCCAGCAGATCCTCACATTGAACTACTGTATTATTAACAACATAATAGGAGGTTATTTATGGACTACATAAGAGAATATAGAATTATACCCAGTTTCTGGAGGAGAAACATCAGTAAAACAGCACTATATATAATGAGGCTAATGTCTTATTAGGTCATATTCCAGTAGAGTAGATAGATTTCTTTTTTCCGTTCTTCATTTTTCTTTTTGTTTCTCAGTTTGTAGTGAAACACAACATGATTTCAGCCCGCTAACCAGCAACATTTACTAACCGGTTTAATTTATAGGTCTGTTTAATTTATACTGTTTTGCTCTATGAAAATGTTCTATATAATAAATCCTTATTATTGGCTGAATTAAAATGTTTTCAACTGTCAATAAATGTGTTGGAAGAAAAAAAAGAATTGTGTTAAATTTTATTCTGGGAAAGAGATGCACTGAAGAAGTTGTGATTCACAAAAAAGCTGTAATAAGTCTTAAATCTTTAACTGGGGGATGCAAGAAAATGAAATAAAACTTTAAAAAAAGTCTTAAAAAAGGTCTTTAATATCTTTATCACTCTAGAAAATCAGTTAAGCTTGTTTTATGGGCGTGGAGAAACAACTTATGGTGAAATTCAATCTTCTGAGAGTTGTCATACTTGTGTTTCAGAGAGAACATTTTAAGAAATATCACACCTGAAAGTAAATTCTGATACTCAAAACAGTGCCAGTCAACATACATCTAGAGTACAGACTCTTCAGAAACACTGATGGAGCAATAATGTTGAACTCTAGGAGGAAAAAATTTTTTTGCTCAAGGTAAGAGAATTCAGTCACAACCACGAGAAAACCAGATTCGATATCTCAAGGTAACGATGTGATCAAACACTTCAAGTACGGTTGTGCAATCTGACGAAATATAACACGAGATATGAGACAAAACTACCTTTCTCTGGATGTTTCATGAGTATTTGTTTCCTTTAAACGTCCAGTTGATTTTCCAGAAAAAGAGGTTATACATGTTGATAAATAAAACATAAACCAGTGGTTCATTTCATAGAAAAAAATTTAATTAAATGTACTTTTTTTGTTTTATTATATCCACGTTTTATCTTCTAATTCAGTATAAATCTTTAAGTTACTGTGTGGAGATAACCTGGAGATAAAATAAATGTCACGAGCAACCATGAACTGCTTTTGGCTTCAATACAAACTGTTGCCAAATCAGGGTCCAACTGGTTAAAACTACCAATTAAAAGTATGACTTTTATGAGCATTATACTAAATTTCTGTTAAAAAAAAGCAGTTTTTTTGCAATCTGAAAAATGTCTGCAACGTCTGTAACCATCTCTGATCTCCTTAATGTTCTTTCTTTGTGGGCGTGTGTGTGTTTGGTGTTGGTATCAGCAGCAACACCCTGTAGGGAGAACAAAAGCAGCCAGGCAGGGCAGCGGGGAAAACTTGAGAGGCGAGTCACAGAAAAGCTCGTGCAGCTTTTGTTGTCGTCATGGATGAACAGGTGTGAAAGGTGGAGTTTGTCTGAGTTTGATTTGGACAGATTTCTTCATATCCCAACACGTGATTTTCAGAAATTGTTTTAAATCCACATAAATTACAAGAATATTTAGATATCCAAGTTTAATCTTAATTCAGTACTGTCTGCAGTGTGTGTAAATTAAGTTACTCTCTTGGTGCAGTATATAGGAAAATACGGCATCTTATTGCTTTAAAAAGAAGTTTACAGGCTTTACTTTTAGGCTAATTTTAAGCTGATGTGATTACATTTGGCGGCTGTTTATTAAATGTGCTTTAATTGTTTTTTGGGATTATATGCAATACTATCTTTTTTCCTAATAAATGTTTCTATTACAAAATGCTAATAGCTGTAGGCTGATTTAAATGTAGAAAATGTAAAACTTCTTACATAATATTTTGACATTTAAAAGCCAAAATATGAGTGTTATGAGAAAGACTTTGTCTCAAACTTTTGACCTAATTAGTAAACTAATTAGTATCATCCATATCAATTTGGACTTTTTTTCATTTATTATATCATTAATTTGTCTTATATCACAGAAGTGGAGTGTAAACAAGTGCATTTACTCAAGTAGCCTGTATAAAGTACACTATTAAGGTATTTTTATTTTATTCTGCTTTACATATACTCCACTAGCTACACTTTGGAGGCAATTCTTTCTTCTTTTTATTCATTTATTTAAAGACTTTAGTTACATCACCGATTCAAATTGTAAATACAAAACATTTAGGCAAAGGCAAATGTATTTATAAAGCTTATTTAATACCCAAAGTGGTTTGCAGAGTTCATGAGCAAAAGCACAAACAACAAACAACAAACAAATGATAAAAAAAAACAATAAAAGAAAGCATAAACCCCCATTATACCAGCATTATTTTACATAGCTAATGAGTAAAAAAAATATTATGAATTATACTTAAGCTCAGACTCAGTTAATAGCTAGTAAAATTATAACATCTTTTGTCATTTAAAAGTGTTAAACCTGGTTTAGCATTAGTTTCAGGGAGGGACCGGTTGGACTTGCCCCGACCCGCCCATGGAGCCTGTGGGCCGGGCTGTCGGGCTGCGAAGGGGCGGGACAGGTGAGAGAGAGAGAGAGAGTATAGAAAGAAAGAAAGGATGAGCTGTTTTACTTCAGTGTGTGTTTCGCCATGTGAATAGAGGTCGGAGGAGTTTGTTTTTAAGTGATTTATCGTCGTTCGTCGTTTGTTGTTGTTTTTGTTTTTGTTGTTCAACCGGTTTTTTTTTTTAACGTTCTATTTTTTAAATCTGACTGCGCGAGACACTTTAACAGTTTTCGGGGAAAAAATAGCAAGGAGCTGTTGATAACTTATTTTAAAACATTTTTGTTTTTCTTCCTTTAACTGACACAGGAGTTAAAATTTCAAAGTATCGTCTTTTTTTAAAAGTTTTTTTATTTTTTATTTTTTATTTTTTTTTGTATTTTCTTGAACTTGGCTGTCAGGTTTGCCCCGTCGCCATGGAGAAACACGACTGTCACTTGGCAACGCACGAGTATCCACATCCATTCATTCACACGGTGAAGCTGACCCGAGCGCAGAGGATCAGGGTAACGTCCAAATTTAAGTCTTCAGTATTTAATGTCATGGCTAAAACGGAGCGTAGAGGCAGACACACTGGCACCACTTCACGTAAACCGTGTTAGACATGACTTGTTACTGTGGAAAAGCTTCATTCAACCCCCCCACCACCAAAATATGCCACCTGAATTTAATTTGGCATTAATTTGAGAGGAGCTGGTCCTCACTCCTAACATCCAAACACCAACTCATACTGTGCTTGTCACTTCAATGCTTAAGGAGTTAGGACACTATATTATAAAGTGAAACTCAAAAAGCAATTTAAACTACATGTGTTTTCTTATTTGTGTTATACATGTGAGCTTTTAAGCCTCCTATAAGAGAGAACAAAGAGTCTTTCACAGCTCTTTCTTTCTGACTTTGGTGCCTAAGCAAAACAGTCATGTCATAAAATGTTTCCAGGCATAGACTGGGGATGACACATGATATCATACCACAGAGTTGCATAACTTGGTGACAGACAGGGCCGTGCAACAGGGCTGAAATTATTATTATCATCATGTAAAGAATGTTTTTAGAGACGGGAGAGCAACATATGGCGAAATGACATATTTAAACTCAGTAGCTATGAATTTAAACATTAAAAGTCACCACGAAATCATAAAACACAGATAAATTGGTCAGAAAGTTTAAAAACAATGTGTTGTGAGTTTAAATATCAGGATACACAATGTCCATATTCGTTAAATCATATTTTAATCTTATTTAAATCTTCTCTTGGTACCCTGCAGGGCGTCATCCTGGGCACCCTCGTCTTCCCTCTCTCCGTTAAATCATTATTTTAAATGTTCCTTCTCCCTTCTCTGGTATCCCTCAGGGCGTCACCTGGGGCCACCCCTCCTCTCTCCTCTCTCGTTAAATCATATTTAAATGTTCCTTCTCTTCTCTTGGGTATCGCCCAGGGCGTCATCCTGGGAACCCTTCCCTTCTCTCTCCGTTAAATCATATTTAAATGTTCCTCTCTTCTCTTGGTATACCTCAGGACGTTCATCCTGGTCGGACCCACATCCTCTTCCCTCTCCGTTAAATCATATTTAAATGTTCTTCTCTTCTCTTGTATCCCTCAGGGGCGTCATCCTGGGCACCCTCCTCACTTCCCTCTCTCCGTTAAATCATATTTGTAAGATGTTCCTTATCTTCTTCTCTTGTATCGCCCTCAGGCGGTCATCCTGGTCACCCCTCCTCTTCCCCCTCTGTGCCGTTAAATCATATTTTAAATGTTCCTTTGCTTCTCTTGGTATTCCACTCAGGGGCGTCATCCTGGTCACCCTCCTCTGTCTCTGCCCGTTAAATCATATTTTAAGATGTTCTCTCTTCTCTTGTGTCATCCCTCAGTTGCCGTCATTCCTGGGTTCACCCGCCTGCCTTCCCCTCTTCCGTTAAATGCAGTTATTTTAAATGTTCCTTCATTCGCTTTCTCTTCCGCCTTCCGCTCAGGGCGTCATCCTGGGCCACCCTCCTCTTTCCCTGATCTGCTCCGCCGTCATGCGTGGCGGCCTCTCTTGCTTCTCATCTCAGTCGGCCTCTCTCGCCCGGCTGGTGGGTTGGCCTGCCTCTGGCCGAGAGACCCGCCACCGCCCGAAGCTGGCTTGGTCCTCCGACTTGCGCTCGGATCGTCTGTGTGTGTTGTTGACCCGAGCTGTCTTTCTTCTCCTTGGGCTTCCTGGTGGTGAAGGTCAAAGGTCGCGAGAGAGGGCAGACCTGAAAGGAGGCCGCCCGTGTGGTCGGGTGGGGCCTCACAGCGGCTTTCTGGACATTGGGTTCTGTTTCCGGCCCAGCCTGGGACCGGTTGGTGTCGCGGTCAAACGAGAAAGAACACAGCCTGCCGGTCATAGGAGGTGGATGGATGATGATTGGAGATCAGATAATGCGTGCATCAAGGAGAGAACTTTGGGGCTTGTTTGCTCTGTTTTCTTTTCACTGTAAACTGATTATAATTTAGTTTTTTGACTATATAAGGCACAATTTATAGATTAGATGATTATGGAAAGAATTATAAACAGCATGGGTGATCAAAATTAAGCCTGAAAGGATAGAGATATTTACTCCTTTAATATGCCACAATGGGGGGAATTTCCTAATATTACCGCAGCAGAATGGTGGATAGAAAGTGGAGGGAGAAAAAAACAGTATAAAGACAGTATAAAAACAGTATGAAAAAATAATATAATATAATATAAACACTGTACAAGAAAAAAACAGTATAAAAAAACAGTAAGTATGAAAAAACAATAAAATATAATATTATATAATATAAATACTGTACAAGAAAAAAAACAGTATAAAAAAACAATAAGAGTATGAAAAAATAATAAAATATAATATAAACACTGTACAGGAAAAAAACTGTATAAAAAACAATAAGAGTATGAAAAAATAATAAAATATAATATAATATAAACACTGTACAAGAAAAAAAACAGTAAGACTATGAGAAAATAATATAATATAATATAATATAAACACTGTACAAGAAAAAAAACAGTATAAAAAACAGTAAGAGTATGAAAAAATAATAAAATATAATATAAACACTGTACAGGAAAAAAAAACAGTATAAAAAAACTAAGTATGAAAAAACAATAAAATATAATATTATATAATATAAATACTGTACAAGAAAAAAACAGTATAAAAAAACAATAAGAGTATGAAAAAATAATAAAATATAATATAATATAAACACTGTACAAGAAAAAACAACAGTAAAAAAAACACAGCGAAAGCGATAACAGTAATGACATCAATACATTTTCTCTTCTTTATTTGCTCTTTTGTTTTTTTAAAGCCACTCCAGACGTCTCCTCTTGTCGTGTAGGACATGCAGGTGTAAAAGACACTGATTGTTTTGTTTGACATGTGTTCAAAGTGGCGAGTCACACCCCGTGCTGCGTTTGGCTTCTTTCAAACGTGTGTCAACTCGAACGCGTCAAAACTGCACCGAGAAGTGAAACGTAAAAGTTGGTTCCCGTCAGTCACGTGTGCCTGAATGACGTAATGTTTTTACCGAATTTGTTTTTAATCTCAGTTTAAAAGAAAGAAGGAAGAGAAATGTATACATTCGCTGTGCTTCACTGGCAGGCAGCGGTGCATTGTGCTCATGGATGGGAAACCTCTCCACCTATTAAACAAACAACAGAGAGAGTAATATTTGGAATAGAGGGGTCGAGGAAAATTAAAGTATGCAAGGAAGTCCAAAGATAAACAAGTGACTCACTCTTTTGGCTTTTAATCTGCTCTGCCTGCTTTGGCACTTCCTTTCTTGCTTTCTTGGCCGTCTCGCTCTGGACTCCTCCCTTTTGGTTCTGGTTCTGATTTGTGTTCTCGTGTGTGTGTGTGTGTGTGTTTGTGTGTTTCAGCTCTGCTCGAGTTCAACCAGTCTGTGATTGTGAGCAGAAAGGATCCAGAATCGAGGAAAAAGGCAGTCGCCCAGCTCACGGAGAGGTTGACCTCTGGTGGCTACTGGCCTCAGGTGAGCGGTTTTATGACCGAAGGTGTCAAATAATGAGTTAAACGCATGTTAAGGTATAATCCCTGGGAGTAAAAAGCTTGTTGTGAATGCTTTTTTTAGTAGTTAATCCCTGACAACAAGTAGTTAAAGCTAGATTTTCATCAGGGAACTCTGTAAATCACTGAAAGTTAAATCAGAGGACATCAGAAATCCTATAAAAAACAACCCAGTTTCACCAAAATCAGTGAACAAAGTTATAAAAGTGGTAAATAACAGTGGAGGAGCTGATACTCAGAACCCTTTTCCAGCCGAGGCAGCTTACAAGCACTCAGTGCAGCTCCTCTGTAGGCTTCAGTGAAGTTAGCCTCTCAGAAGAAAGTGGGTTTTAGGGAGGCGGGGGGTTAAAGAGATGTCTTCCTTCAGACGGAGGATGGACTGAGGGCCTGTATAAGATAATTAAGGATGTTTTTGAAGAGTGAATCGTGGAAAGCTTCTCTAGTGGAGAAAATAAAGAATATAGAGCTGGAAATGAGCGTAATAGATCCTCTTTAAGACTCCTGACAAAAGAAAATCTGCTGCACCTTGGATTTATAAAGTGAAAATGCAGATACATTACCGCCTTGGCTCCTATCTTGTTTACAGAGCTAATTACTACCAAACTATTTAATCGCACAATTAGAGTAACGCCGGCGGTCACAGAAACAACAACAGCGGTGCAGACGTCCGTCGAGTTCAGTCTCTGCTCGTGGTGGCTTCATACCACTAGCACAAAAAGCCGATCAAGATTAAATAAAGTCTATAGGATGGGACGAGGGGAACTTTCCTGCCTCCAGGGAATACTTTTCTGACTGCATCCTTAATTACAGTTTGGAAATTGCAAGAGTAACCACAGGTCAGGCCTTATGTACTTTTAAATAAGGGTGAACAGAAGGTGCAGAGCATTGAAGTCGTACTGAAACCAGTCCGTCCGTGCATAAGAAGCCAGATTGTTCTGAGGTTACAGTCAGCAGGAGGTAGTTTTCTTTGACTCTTGGCTCCGACGTGCCGTTCATGTTGTCATAAAGCCTGTAAGTTCACCGTCTGGAAGCACACAGAGCTCCGACATGTCCTGACTCATAGGCCGCATTTCTTATTCCTTGGCTAGATGCTGATGTTCCCCGAGGGAACCACAACTAACGGCAGCGCTCTCATCAAATTCAAACCCGGTGAGTAGCGGGCAGTGAGTCCCCATCTGGTTTTTCTCGATGTATAACTCGTTTCTAACTCACCGTTTGTGTAAATCGTGTAGGAATGAGTGGCATGAGAGTTAAAGGGCGTAGCAGCTGATTGTCTCGCAACCGGATGATTAACTTGTACAGCACTACTCTCTCTCTCTCTTTGCAAGGTGCAGTCCCGTATTTTTAGTTTATGTTTCTTTCCTCTACAGGTGCGTTCCTTGCCGGAGTCCCGGTCCAACCTGTTCTGTTGCGTTACCCCAACAAGCTGGTGAGTTAAATCGTGTTGCTCTGCTAGTTTTTTTTAAACATGAGATGATGTAATTTGTCGTTTGTCCTGTTAAGGAGTTAAGATCCTCTTCCTACTCCTAAATGTTTAACTAGGGCCGTGATTTCAAGCTCTATCAAGATCTCTTTTTTTTAAAGTTAATCGGCGGTTATAAACAAACATTTATTTAAGGTTGGTAGTTATTTGTTCACTGATAAAACCTGTGCCCTTCCCCTTTCCAGTTCTCCCCACAAGAAGAAGGTTAATGTTCACAAACGTCTATCTTTTTATATGTAATGGAAAACCAGATCAAATAAAACAAGCATTTATTAAGAAATGTGAGTTTGTAGGTGTATAACCCCTGACTCACCCTTCATTCATTGGAAAATAGTATACATGGCCAACCTTTGTTCTAGGAATGGCTTCTTACTACACATTTTGAGAAAAGAAAATAAAGAATAAACTTGTGCTGAGAAGCCATACGCAATTCAGAATACATGGGAACACATTTTTGGTTTTAATGTACAAAAAAATACATGAAAAAACGACAGACTCACATATGTGACACATCTCCAGTTTAAATTTCTGATTTCAGAGAATTTTAAAATCTAATTAAATAATTAAAGGAACAATAAATGGGTAAATAACTATTTTGTTATACTAATAATTAAGGGGACTTGGTTATTAAGAGAGTGAATGAAGTCGAGGTGCACTGCTTTTGTTAAGGTACACAAATAAAGAGCCTTTATTATAGTAACTAGATGATATAAAAACAAGACTATAAGTTAAATGTATGTGTGTTACAGCAAAGATTACCTGTCTCAACACGTTTTTTACTGTCTGCCAAAGGATCAAAAATAGGAATTTGAAGGTAATTTTATAACCGTAACAATAACAGACTGGAAACTACGTCATTGCACTCAAACTGTAAAAAGTTGAGCAACCTGCGTGCAATCGAAGGCACATACAGTAGACGCTTTGTTCTGTTTTGACTCATTTGTATCTGTCGTCACCTGATGCCCACAGATCAGTGTGTACGCTACCTTTTATCCTACATTTTATCAGGCTGTAGTTTATGTTTATGAATATACTGTAATATTTGTCCAGGCCAGTACGTTTGCATACTCAGTAAAAAGAGGAACATCTACGAGGGGAAAGTGACCAGAGTTGTGCTATAAAAAAAGACTCCACCCTGGTTGTGTTGTATCCACTGTTTGATTAAAGTCTTTTTATGACTCTTTCCTCAGGATACTGTTCGCTGGACATACAAAGGAACAACCTGGTGAGTTCAATACACAGGAGCTGTGGTACATTTCTGGGATTTCTGGATTTCTACGTAAGCAGGAAGATGAGTCGGCATGGAAAATGTATTTTTATCAACTTCCAGGATTTTTTAAAAACTCCCTTAATTGTTGTCTGCTCACTTACAAATGTTTTACAAGAAATGCACTCAACCTAATGGGATTCAAGCTATTCACTGCTGTTATATTTTCAGGGTAAATAACAGAAACACCTCCCTGTATAATGCAATATAGTTCACCAGCAACACAAACTTCAGCCTCCAGAAAGATCATATGTGTCGCTTCAACGCCTGTCTAACACTGCGTAAACACCAACTGAACATTACAACCTTCCAGCAGGTAGGATTTATTACAGGACCGGATTAGTTTTAGCTTGGTCAACCTAATAAAACCGGTAACCTAATGTCAACTGGAAGTGCAGGATTTTCTTTTCTGGCCACATCAATCTCGTTTAATAAACAAATTTAGAAGAACTGCGCCTATTGGAAAAGTTAAACGTCCTATAGGTAGTGCTGGGTGAAAGATTATGAAATTCTGTCCCAATGCAAATGTTTAAAACACCAGTTTTAGCCGATGTTGTTGTGGTGAAACAACGAAAGCTACAAAGATAAGCAAATTCAAACAATTTATTTAAATATAAGCTAAAAGGAACATCTTCTCCTGTCATCCAGAATCAAAACAGTGAGAGAAGTCAAATTAACTACATATTTTCAAGACATAGGAACACCCTAACCCAAAGAGAGGAGGTCACATGTCACACCTACTGAAGTGTCTGAGCACAGCACAAGAGGAGAGGTAGAGACCCCTCTCTGGTGTTTGTGTGGAAGCTCTTTCTCTACTTTATATTTGTGTTTGAGGTGCTGTTTTCTATACATATTTAATATAATATTGGTTTGTCCATTTAGGGTTGAGGCACTGTGGCACACAACGTCACAGTTCTACACCAACCTGACTGTTGAGGTAAGACCGTTTACCAGCTCATTCACCTCACAAATGAACACATATTAATAAATAATGATGTAATAATGATAGAAATCTGTGTTTTTAAGAAGAAACTTGACAATGTTTTCGACCCGCAGTGATGTAGAAGTGTACTTTAGGTGTGTTCGGTACACTCTGACATCACTGTTGGGTGTATTAACACCAAGTATAAGGTGCAAGTGTGAATATAAAATCCAATGTGTGTGTTTTTCATCCTGTTCCACCTTTTTACAGACATTGTGACTAAAAAAATATATTTTTTTTTTATTGTTTCTTCTGCAGTTCCTGCCCGTTTACAAACCCTCCCAGGAGGAGAAGAATGACCCCAACCTGTACGCAGACAACGTTCAGAAACTCATGGCCAAGTAAGCAGCAGAATACGCAGTTGGTTTATGATTTATGTCAATTTGTATGTCACTGCGTCAGCTATGCTTCGTATTCAGCAGTCATAGACGTCATCTGCTATGTTAATGGGTGTTTTACAGTGACGAGATGTATTGAAAAGACGTACAAAACAATAAAAATAGACCACAAACGGAACAAAACAAGGAGGCTGGCAGACAGTTTATAAGACTATATGAACAGTCTTTCAAAACTGTCACAATATAATATTCAAATGAATAATATCTTTTATTCTATAGCACGTATCAAGATAAAGTCAAGTGCTTCACATAAGAACACATTCAAACTTTGGTCTCTGTCTCCGCCTGCTGTAATCTCTCAATCTGGAAGAAAAACAAACCTTGGCAGTGGCTGAGGACAGTTTGCAGATGTTGTTGTTGTTGTTATTGTTGTTGTTGTTTACCCTGAGCTGCCACTAGACGTTAATAAAGAGCATATTTATTTTATGAATGGCACCAGTGTTTTTTTAATCTACTTTGGCAATAAGGAGAAATAAAAGTCCCCAACATGCTTTTCTTTTCTTTGTTATTCTCTGTATGGTTTTATATTAAATTAACTTTTCACATCGGATTTATTTCCCCTAAAACAAACTATGGTGACCTGCATTTTTAGATTTTAGATGAGGAATGAACTACGGGGTTAAAAGCCGCAGTAGATGCTACACATTGTATTGTAATGCACTTTTCTGCTGTGCTTCAGGGCCCTGGGAATCCCCGCTACAGATTATGTGATGGAGGGCCGAGTTCCTGTCAATAAACTGGGTGGTCTCTCTCTCCCACTGGACTCACCTGCCAGGGAAACACTCTCGCTGTTGCACAAAGACGGGTAAGAGAAGTTGTTTGACTCCTGGCCTCTTTTTTTATTATATTTATTTTTTGTTCCCCATTCGTCTTTTTTCTCACCGTCTTGCACCGCTCTCTTTCTCTTTCAGTCTCGGCGTGCATGAAGTGGAAGCAGCGCTGGACAGGATGATTGACAGGTGTCAGTCAGGAGCTCAGGGGACCGTCCAGGCCAGCGCCGAGGAGCTCGCCTCTCTTCTCAGGCTGACGGATAAACAGACAGCTGTCAGGATCTGTGGCCTCTACTCCAAGGTTGGTGTTTGTCTGCTAGGATGAACTGAGAGTTTTTACATCTGCGTTTTTGTAGATAACCAACAACTGCAGCAAAAAATGAACTGTCCTCCAGAGTTTTACGGTTTTGATACAACAGCTATGAGAGTGCATGCTGCATACTCACTCTGTGGCAATAGTTGGATACCAATTTCAGTTTTTACACGCTGTATTCAAGAAACAAATAGAAAAAAAAGTATGTATATTAAGTAAAACTGTGTCAAACTCTAATATTGTGTTTTTTTCCTTCAGGATGAAATTGTGGACCTCAGACAGATCTATTTGAGTGTTGCTGCTCTGTCAGGGTTTGCCAGCTTCAAGTCACTGCTCCACACTGCTTTTACAGTAAGTCCTGTTGGCTTATTTTCCTGACCCAAGACACCTTTTACAGCAAATATGTTCAAAATACAAAGGATACATGTGTCACATCGTTTACATACCTATTTTACCCACTTTTCTTTCACATTTTCCTTTTTTAAATGCACTTGTCTTTGTTTTCCAGCTGTTTGACAAAGAGGGCAAAGGCAGTCTGAGTGCAGAGGAGCTGTCAGACCTCATGGGGGCGCTGCTGGGTTTTCCTCAGCACCACACAGCTGAGCTTTACACTCAGGCCTCCAATCAAGGCCAGCTTACTGAAGGTCAGTGTCTCTGTAGTATTGAGTTTGGCAGCATTTCCAACAGTTCAACACGAGTGGGAAAACAAGCAGGCCAAGGGCTTCTCGTTTAGTTATTTTTTGTTATTTCAGCACAAATATTATTATGTACCGTTCCAGCAGTTGTGCTGGACGAGTGATGCACCAGCCTCCATTTGAATTTTGTGTCTTCACATTGACATTATCTGTAATGAAATGAGCTAAATCAGTAAAACAGCCTTTCCTTTTTAGGTTTAAGGTTTATATATATATATAAGTTATTATAAGTTAGTATAAGTTTAACTTATAATAGTCAAAACAATATATTTGTTAACAGGCTGCTCACAAACTTCAATAACAATTTAATGAGTTTAAAAGTGAAAGAACTTCTAAGATAAAGCACTTAAAAGAAACCGTTTATTTTTAAGTTGCCGGTCTGATATTCTCCCTGCTGTGAGAAGTGGTTAACTGAGTTAGAGCTCATACAGTAGTGTGAAAAGTTTAGACATATGTTAATAAGATTAAAGTCCGACTGGAGGAGATTTTACTCGATGAAGCAACAATGTACACTTCACTGAACATTTGTTCCATCAGGTGATAAATCGGTGTCAAAACGCATTAAAGTCCTCATTGCAGCTGTCTCGTTTTTTCCACAGAACGTCTGCTGCGAGTGCTGACGACCCACCCGACCTATCAGAGAGTGGGGAACGAGTACATGCAGTCCGAGGAGGCGGGCTCTCGGCTTGCCAACGGGAAGGCTGTGAACAACAACGGAAACATGCACAACAGCAACGGGTCCTTCCACTACCACAAAAAGCTTGAATGAGAACAAAGATTTCTTGTATTTTCTTTACAGGATGACCTGTCGAGTTTGTTACATACTTGTTGCATCCTAACGGGACAAATCAAACTAGAATATTGACTAAGAATTGTATTTTTTAAGTTTGGTGTGTGTGTGTGTTTGGATGTTTTTTTAAATCAGTATTGCTGTAACATTATAAAACCAAAGAACGACTTTAATAATGACTACAGTAATTCTTGGAGGTGTGTGTGTGTAAGTGTAAGACCAGGTCCTATTTGAGGACTTGCAGTTCATGTTTACCAGTGTACCTTTTTTATTTTATTTCTTTTTAATTACCCTCAAGAAATCTCGTTCACGTGTTGTTTAAGATTCCGTTAAAGAGCTAATTTACTTGTCATTCGAAGCCATGAAATGTTTTATTTATTGAATTTCTTCTATGTTTATTGGTGAATGTAACGGTTAGTGCAAAAAGAATCTCAACACTCTGTAAATGAAAAAGTTTATTTTATGTAAATGAATTCTTATTCCATTTTTGTGTGAATATTGTTTCTATTTAACAATTAATTAAACTGTGAATTCTTTTAAGGAAGTTACGCTTTGTATTTAGTTTTTTTTCCTCAAATCCACATTAGTTATCCATCTTCCTTCCTCTTCTCAGCTGTCCTTTGTGTCTGTTTGTTTTACACAAGATAAAGTCTTTATACTTTAGGGGTAACTGTTTGGAACAACGTGTTTGTCTCTTACAAGGAACACATGGGATGTGGGTTCCTTTACGACTTTCCATCGCACTGCTTTTGCCACCTCCAAATGTTTCTTGTCCAGATAGATTTGATAAATTTGAGACCTTGTCGTCCTTAGCCTTTGTGTTACTTCTCGTTAAGGGTGGACTTGGTTTACAGCCAGATGTTTCCACCTCGTCCCGTGCCCCATCTTT